GATTAATGTTCTTCAAACGTGGTGTTCTTACAAATTAATAAGTGGAGAACCATCTCAACAGAAAATGGCCAAACGTTTCTGGAGTCAGATAACTCCAGGAATTTCTGCTTACTTTTCCATGATCTTGTACCCCTATACTGTATACAACTAAATTTATGACTCTAAGAATTTTTGTACTAAGAGCTTACTTTAATGCAGAGTTTTCCAAACCTATATGTCAAAAATAGACTTTAGCATCCGGAGTAATTATAATTCTTCAGAACATACTTTAAAACATACTGAACTCTATCATCAACATGGCTTCCTCTGGTTTCTAGTCTGGTAAAACGTTCAGAAAAGGAAATGAAGTTAGTTTTATCCAATGTTTCTCAACCTTGATACTCCAGTAGTCCCTTCTTATCCGTGGTTTTGGCTACCCATGGTCAACTGCGGTCCAAATATATTAAATGGAAATTTCCAGAAATAAACGATTCCTGGGTTTTAAAGTGCGCACCATCCTGTGTAGAGTGATGAAATCTTGCACCATCACGTCCATTCTGCCTGGGATGTGAATCACCCCTGTGTCCAGCACGTCCATGCTGTATACGCCACCCACCCATTAGTCACTTAGGAGCCATCTCAGTTACCAGATCCACTGTCACAGAATGTTCAAGTAACTGTTATTTTACTTCATAAAGGCCCCAAAGTGCAAAGAAACTGTGACTGATTTGTAAATTAAACTTGGTCATAGGTATGTACAGGAGAAAACAGGATGATTCAGAACTATCTGTGGTTTCAGAAATCCACTGGGGGTCCCAGAATGTATCCCCAGCAGGTAAGTGGGATTGACTGTATTAACATTTTGGGCAGTACAATTATTTGTCGTAGGAAGCTGTCTTATGTGCTGTGGATGTTTAACAGCAACCCTGGATTCTACCTGGCAGATATCAGTACTAGCCCCTCATCGTCCTCAAATTGTAACAAACAAAATTGCCTTCAGACACGCCCAAATGCCCCCCACCCGGGGGCAGATAATTTTCCTCCCAACCACCTGTCTAACCTTACTGACTTCTAAGGTACTTATGGTATCCCCATGAATGTGGTCCACTGCCTAGGCACTCCCAAAATGGCATAGAGTTTCACCATATTTTGATTTCTGTTTCTCATGATGTCCACTACTTTATGCTTTAATACAAGGGAGTAATTGTTCTATCTCTTGTCTTCTAGTCTTTTTTGTTTGTTAGGATTTCTTAAATCTCCAGGCACACCTAACCACACGCAGTTCCCCTGATGCCAGGTTTCTTCTTACTAGCTGAGTTTTCTCCTTTCCCTGGGCATGCTCTTAATCACTAGCACCAACAAAGGCCAGGCACTTGTCTTTCTAAATCAAGCTTCAATTCTCCCAGGATGCCTTTTTATCAAGGTGGAATTAAGTTCTTTAAGCCTCATACCCTCTGCACAGCCTTCTACCAGGCTCCCCAAAACACATTACACATATTTATGCAACTATCTCTCCAATTCTTTGAGGACAAGGACTGGGTCCTATCGATTTTCTGATTCTCAGCATAGAGTAGGGACCAAAGTATGAGAACAAAGGAGTTGAAGTATAATTTGGGATAGGTCAGCAGTTGCAGCTGCGGGGGCCTGGGTAGATTTCAAGCAACACTGAGCTCATTGGCAGCCTCCTTACCAGCTTTCTTCTAGGAATGTTCTCTTTGCTAATCTCCAGGAAGACAAATCTTCATTCCCAAAAGAAGGGAAAAATACCACAGGACCAGCTTTGTTTTTCTCTCTCTCTCAACTATGAATATGACATCACTTGTTTCGTCAACTTGGTCCAGACTGTTCCTGCAAGTTTTCTCATTCCAAAATAAGGAGAAAAGCCCTTTTCCCTTGATCTCAGCATTTCTGTAAACCTCAGTTTATTCTGGTCTGTGTCTTTTTTTTAATCCTTGGAGCGCACCCTCCCTTCCATGTTTTGGGAGGCCCCTCTGGACCTGAGCCTCAGAAACAACCCCCGCTCCCTATTGCACCAGTATCTTCAAGTATTTCCTTCTTTTTATGTCCTGTTGGGGATTATTTTAAGCTTTAGGCACAGAGTTTAATCTTGGGAATGCTTTGACTTCACCAGAGCTGTCCAAGATGGTGGAAGTGGTGGGAAAGAAAGATATAGGTTACAGAAACATTAACGAGGGGCAATTGGCAAAACTTGGGAGACCATTTGGACATGGGGGAGGGGGAGATGACTCCCAGGTTTCTGTTTTGAGGCAACTGAACGACTGGTGGTTCCTGCTGTAGAGATGGAGGTCACAGGAGGAAGTGGAGGAAGAGGAGGGAGGGGAGGGTTTCTGGGAAGATGTTGAGCCTGGTCTGGGATGTTTAGGCTCTGAGGTTTCCATAGGAGACAAGGCAGAGATGTAGAGGGGGTAACTGGATATAAGAGCCTGATGCTCTGGGAAGGAAAAAGACAACTTGGGAGTCTGTTGGCATGCAGATGGCAGCTGAAGCTGAGGCAGTTGACAAGAGCACTCGGGGATGGTGTGCAGATGGAATAGCCATGGTTAGGGATGATGCAGGAAGAAAAGTTCTTGAAGGAGATCAAGAAGGAGTGGCCAGAGACAGAGATGAGGAAAGCCAGGAGAAGAGCATGCACCAGAGGCCACTGCATGGAGAGTTTGGGACAGAAGTATGGCCAGACACTTTAAATGATAGAGGTGGATTCCAATAAGGATGGAAAAGTGCCCACTGAATTAGCAACAGAGGGTCATTGGAGACCACTGAGAGGACAGCTTTAGTGGAATGAAGGGGCTGGAGCCATACGCTGGGCTGGAAGAGGGTGGGGAGGAGAGGGAATGGGGGGCAAATATAGGATGATGGCTAAAGAGGGGATTATTCATTCATCCACTCAAGCAAGAAGTAGGGCAGGGGGCCTCCTGTGTACCAGGTGCCACTCAGGGCCCTGGGATACAGGAGTGGAAAAACAGGCAGAACTTCCTGCCCTCACGACGTGTACTTTCTACAGAGATATAGTCTGGAGGGAGGACTCTTTTTTAAAAACAGTTATTAGAATTATCATTTGACTGATGAGGAAACCAAGAAAAGTTAGATAGCAACTCACCCAAGTTTATGCAGATGTCCAAGCTGTGGGTCATGCTCTGACCTGCCTGACCCACTCCTTTTTAGGCTGCCTGAAGGGAATAGAGTTTAGGCATACAGAACCGTAACAGGTGGAGAAGAACATAGGTGTGAGGTGAAGAATTATTCATGTCTGGGTGGACTTATTCAAAACAAGGTGCCTACTTGGCCCCACATTGTTTAGCTCCAGCTGTACTTTATCTAGAACCCACTGTGTTCGGCATTGTGTCTGGGCTCAGGTCCCCTCCAATGTGGGTGGCAGGTACTGAGATCCACATGTTCCCACTTGGTTCTGTCTGAGCTAGAGGCTTGAGAGGCAAACTGTGGGAAACACCCAGAGCCCCCTTTCCTGTGGAACTCTGATACATATGGTCTGATTTGAGCTAAACAATCTCCCCATCCCATTGTTAAGGGTGAACACATTGATCCAAGCAAGGTTCCATGAGATTAGACATAGAAGCGCTGGACAAAAAGAGGGTCTTTATCCCTTGCGGATGGTGAGCTTAGGGACCAGGTTGGATGGCTCACAGCCATTTTGGCAGCCTGAAGAAAATGTCAAGTAGAGATTAACAGAGCCAAGAGATAAAGAGGGAGATCAAGCTCTATTTCATTTGAACTCCTGGCTCCAGCTCTGCTCAAAATCTACCAAGAACTATCTCAGACATCCTAACGTCTTGAACATTTTGACACTTGAAACTGAAAGAGTCTGACCAATATAGTTTGTCAGGATGTTATTTGTGACTGTGTGAAATTAATATATTACTGACTTTTGCAGTTGACTGACTTTGGGGGCTTCTTCCATGGAGCCAGATGTGTTTGCCATTTTCTAGGTGTCAGCCCTACAGTGACTGATATGGTTTAGATTGAGGTCTCCACCCAAATCTCATGTCAAATTGTGATCCCCAGTGTTGGAAGAGGGGCCTGGTGGGAGGTGATTAGATCATGGGGGTGGATTTTCCCCTTACTGTTCTTGTAATAGCGAGTGAGTTCTCATGAGATCTGGTTGTTTAAAAGCATGTAGCACCTTGGCCAGGTGTGGTAGCTCACGCCTGTAATCCCAACATTTTTGGAGGCCATGTCAGGCAGATCACTTGAGGTCAGGAGTTTGAGACCCAGTCTCTACCAAAAATACAAAAAGTAGCCGAGTGTGCTGGCATGCACCTATAGTCCCAGCTACTTGGGAGGCTGAGGCATGAGAATTGCTTGACCTTGGGAGGTGGAAGTTGCAGTGAGCTGAGATCACACTACTGCACTCCAGCCTAGGTGATAGAGTGAGGCTCTGTCTCAAAAAAAAGTGTGGCACCTCCCCCTTCTTTCTCTTCCTCCTGCTCCAGCATGTGTAAGACATGCCTGTTTCTCTTTCGTCTTCTGCCACAATTATAAGTTTCCTGAAGCCTCCCCAGCCATGCTTCCTGTACAGCCTGTGGAATCACAAGCCAATTAAACCTCTTTTCTTTATAATTACCCAGTTTCAGGTATTTCTTTGTAGCAGTGTGAGAACGGACTAATACAGTGGTAAAGAGATAAGTAAGACATGGGCTAACAACATGGCTGTGGAGATGGTGACAGCAATCCCTCACAAAAGAATTATGGTCAATAAAATGCTCCACATCCCTTTCTCTTCAGCTGCAATCATAGACAATGATTAGGTAGCAATTCCAGGTAGTGTTTGGCAAGGAAGGACTAAACTGAAAAGATGTTCTGTGTACCAGGAGCTCTGAGGAAGTGGGCTGGGGAGGTGAGGGAGATGTATTGTGGATTCTTTTTGACACTCTGTTCTGGGTGCCTGTGCTAAAGGGTTGATGGAGGACAGAGGGAGAGAGGAACAGGTGGTTTGGGGAATCTGTGGGTGTGTCCACTGTGAGTAGAAGGTCTGTTTCTCATACCTTTCCCATTCCAGCGTGGGCATGTCCCAGCTTGACCACCACCGGGAAGTGTGGAGCTGTGACCTGAAAGAGCAAGAGGAAGTCACTCTTAGCATCTTAGAGGATTGCCACCAAGGCTCTGGGCACTGCTTATTCCATAGAAAGATCCATTCATCTGATATCATCAGGAATCCCCATAAGAATGCCTTGACAGATGGTCACCCTGCTATGGCTCAAACACCCTCAGTGTCAGTGCTTTTGGCTTCCAAAGGAAGCTCTGAGCTCTTAAGACCAGCTTACCCTGGTGTCTACAGTGAATATATCCATGTTAAAAAACAGCAACATTTGATTTTGATTCCAAAAGCAGTAAGTACTCACTATGAAAACTTCAGATAATCTATTGTGAAGTATAAAGAAGCCAGTAAAAATCATTCTCATACATCCAACAGTTTTGGCTTATTATCTGCTGGTCTTAAAAAAATCTATATTTAGGTTTTCTCTTGATTTGTTCTGTTTTTACAATATTGGAAGTATAGTGCATATCCAACCCTGTTTCCTGTTCTTTCCACTTAATATTATGTGATGAAAATACTCCTGGTGGTTATTACTTATTAACTTAATAATAATTAAGAAATATTTCACATATGGAAAAAGGCTTAAAGACCAATACTATGGACATCAGCTTGCTTAAGAAATAAGACATTACCTAGACAGCTGAAGCCCCTGATGTTCTTCTTTCTGATCACACTCTCTTAACTCCCATCCCAGAGGTAACCATTATATAAATTACATGTTTATTATTTTCTTGCATTTATTTATAATTCTATTATATATGATTCCCAAGTTTTATATATATATATATATATATATATATATATATATATATGACATAATTTTAAACTTTCTATAAAGCCAGGTCCATGCCTGTAATCCCAGCACTTTGGGAGGCTGAGGTGGGAGAATTACTTGAGCCAAAGAGTTCATGTCCAGTCTGGGCAACACAGTTAGAACCCATCTCTACAAAAAATTAAAAACAATTAGCCAAGCATGATGGTACACACTCGTAGTCCTAGCAACTAGGGAAGCTGAGACAGGAGAATCACTTGAGCCCAGAAGTTGGAGGCTGCAGTGAGTTGTACCACTGTACTCCAGCTTGGGTGATAGCATGAGATCCTGTCTCAAAAAAAAAAAAAAAAAAAAACCAAAAAAACAAAAAACCCACAACCAAAAACCCCACAAACCTTTATTTAAGTAGTATAAAAAACACTCTTACGCAACTTTTTTTTGCATACAATGTATGTGAGATTCATGTATATTCATACGTATAGCTCTGATTCATCTTCATTGTTGCATAGTATTCCATTTCATGATTACATCATCATTATCCATTTCTTGTTGATGAACCTTTAGGTGGTTTCTGTTTTCAAATTATAAACAATACTTCTACAAACACTCTTTTTTTTTCACCAAAGGACTTTAGTTACCTGGCTGAATCATCACACCCAGCCACCCATGTGGAACTTGGGAACTGTCAGCAGTCCAGGGGCTGCCTGGATCACTACTGGAGCTGGTTTCATCTCATTTTAAGGTGGAGCTTGAGGTGAGGGGAAACAGGTGTTCTCTCTCTTCCCTTCTGCCCCCTGTCCCCTCAAGTCTAATCATATGCTACATTGGTGAGAACTGGAAAGGGCACACTTGTAGGAGTGCCGGCAGCTCTGCCATTTACTCCCTGTTTCATCTCAGGCTAGATATTTAACCTCCCTGAGCCTCAGTTTTCTTATCTGCAAAATGGGGATGATCATGCCTAACTCATAGGATTATTTGGGCAAGAAGAAATAAGGAATGTGAAACCGCTTAGCACCAAATGGTTCTGAAACCTAAAGTGTAAAGTGGAAGCAAAGGGAGGAAGGAACTGACTCTGGCTTTGCGGGGCGGGGGTGGGGGAGTTGGGGGAGAGGTAAAAGAAGACTCGATGATTAAGGAAGGAGAGCCAAGGCTCTGGCCTGGCAGCATCTGTCAATAAAGGAGGGAATGAAAGGAAGTTCAACAAAGGAAAATCAGGAGACCACACCACAGCGCGGAGCCAGGGGGTGACAATAGGTTGGCACTTTCAATATGAAAGAACGTGATCAATTACCTTATGGAACCCTCATGCTACTGTGTTGTGATAGGTTGAAGTCTAGGTATGGCCCTGAAGATGTCACCTTGTGATCACTGAAGCTTGTGAGTGTGATGAGACTGTCATATAATGTTATGCTATACGGCACAGGTGACCTTAAAATAAGGATGGGCCTCATCTAATCATATGAGCCCTTAAAAGCAAATAACTTTCTCAGGCTGGTGGCAGAAGAGGAAGTCAGAGTGATTCAAATCATGTAAATGACTCAATATACCATTGCTGCTTTGAGATGAATGGGGACCAGGTGTTTAGGCATGTCGATGGCCTGCAGGAGCTGAAGGTGGCCCCTGGGTGAGAGCCAGTAAGAAAATGGGACCCCACACCCACTGTCACAAAAAACTGAATCCTTCAAGTAATAAGAATGACCTTGGAAGAGAATTGAGCTCCAGAGGAGAATGCGTCCTGATTTCAGCCTTGTGGGAACCTGAGCAGAGAACGCTGTTGTGTCACCTGGACTTCTGACCTATAGAACTATGAGATAATAAGGAGCTGTTCTTTTAATCTGCTAAGTTTGCAGTGATTTATTAGGGCAGCAATAGAAAACAAATACACATGTCTTTGTAGAAACCAAAGCCCAAAGAGGGATGAGATTGTTTTCATGGCACAAGATTGTTTTCATGGCAGAACTGGAAAGTCAAATTTATGTGTCTTGACTCTTAATCAAGTTTATGTGTCTCAGTCAAGCACCCTCTCATCAAAAGGCACACTTTTATGGGAATCATATGCATAGCTGGGGTGTAATAAATGCTTCCCCTCATGATAGTGATAAAAAAAGAATCAATTCCGTGGGCATGATTGAATGAGAACTGTGTGGCGAGCTCTATGTTTTGTGCTTGTTGGGGTACACAGAAGGTTGAGACAAGATTTCTGCCCTCAGAGGGTTTATCATCTGCTTGGACCCATGGGCTGTACAATGAAACAGCAGAGTGAGGCAGCAAGGTAGGAAGGGGTGGGGTAGGTTGGGGCCATGTGCAAGTCTCCAGAGCAAAGATAGTAACGTTTTTGGCACCAGGGACTGGTTTCATGGAAGACAATTTTTACATGATCTGGAGTGGGATGGGGGAATGGTTTTAGGATGATTTAAGAGCATTGCATTTATTGTGCACTTTATTTCTATTATCATTACATTGTAATATATGAAATAATTACACATCATACCATAATGTAGAATTAGTGGGAGCCCTGCGCTTGTTTTCTTGCAACTAGACAATTCCCATCTGGGGGTGATGGGAGACAGTGACAGATCAGCAGCATTCGATTTGCCTAAGGAGAGTGCACCCTACATCCTTCGCATGTGCAGTTCACAACAGGGTTCCTGCTCCTGTGAAAATCTAATGCCACCTCTGATCTGACAAAAGGCGGAGCTCAGGCGCTCATGTGAGCGATGGAGAGTGGCTGTAAATACAGATAATGCTTTGCTCCCTTACCTGTGGTTCACCTTCTGCTATGCAGCCCTGTTTATGACAGGCCATAGACCTGTCCTGGTCTGTGACCCTGGGTGGGAAATGAGGCTCTGACCAGGGTTCTGAAGGATGAGTAGGTTGTAGGTGGCTGGATAGAAGGCACAGAGTTCCCCCAAGGGTGAACAGTACAGAGCACCACAGTCTTCCCATGGGCATGCTTAGATTTTTCATGAGCTCTAATAAACAAAGACCCACAGGAAGGAAGGAAGGATTTATTTTAGCCACATAATGTCTTTTTTTTTTTTTTTTTTTTTTTTTTTTTGAGACGGAGTTCCTCTCTGTTGGCTAGACTGGAGTGCAGTGGCACAATCTTGGCTCACTACAACTCTGTCTCCCAGGCCCAAGTCCCTCAGGTAGATGGGATTATAGGTGTGTGCCACCATGCCCAGCTAATTTTTGTATTTTTAGTAGAGACAGGGTTTCACCATGTTAGCCAGGCTGATCTTGAACTCCTGACCTCAGGCAATTTGCTGGCCTTGAACTCCCAAAATGCTGGGATTGCAGGTGTCAGCCACTGTGACCAGACACTCAATATGATTTTATCTGCAATAAAGCTATTTGGCAGGGCATTTCTGAATGGAATTCTATATTTGAACTGCATGTCCTTCTCCAAGCTTCTTAAATGAAATTGGAGGAAAGTATTAATTGTTAGAAATCGTGGAGTAGGTGCCATATCTGGATTTAGAGAACACGGAAAGTCAATCTAGAAAAATCTGAGAATGTTTAAGATATTTCACAGAAAACATTTCAGAATTCACCTAAAGCAATGAATTTTCCTGATACGAGGGAAAAATTTCCTTTGCCATTTTTTACTTTGACTTGTTGAAAACAGTGTTCTTTTCAGAACCTTGTATGGGCTGGCAAGACTCCGGGCTGGTGCTGGGGACACAGAAGAGGTAATTTGGGGCCAAATTATTGGGGGCATTTGAAACCAAAGAGGGGAGTTAAGGTTGCTTGGACGGACAGTGGGAAAGCAGGAAAGTTCTGGAACTGGAGGGTGACCTGCCAGCCTACTTTGGAATTGATTCTAAAGACACTAAATGTCACAGGTTGGGCCTGGATTGGAAAGAGATGGTAGAGGGAGTGGGTGCACTCCCAGGCGCCTTTCTTTTTTCTTTTTTCAGTAACACTTCTTTATTGAAATAATAGTATTAAAATGACTATAGAAATTCAAGAAGAAAATTGTCTACAATCTTATCATCTAATTAGATCAGTGTTTGTATTGGTCCATGTTACTTTATAATTTTTATATGTTCGATAAAACCCCCAGGATGCTTTACAACAACATTAGAGGTAGAATTTTGCATCTGTCTTCTTACTTAATGTTATACCATACGTGTTTTCTTATTTTTTTCTACAGGTGATTTTATTTTCTTTTATCATCCCCCATGTCCCTTCTCCAGCCCAGGTAACTAATCTCACCTGACCAGTGTGTCTGGGGT